GAACCTTTGGAAAATGGGGGTTAGGGAAATATAAAAAGTGGGAAATATACTTGATCGGGTAGTCTACGTCACCCGGTCGGGTATTGAACAAAAACCCCTTACTCACACCATCACCCGGGCGGGGCAAGCAAGAGATTTGAAAAATAATTTTCACCCGACCGGGTATCTCAGGGTACCGGCAGGGTGACATCACCGTAGCTACAGCCAGCCCCTGGGATGAAGCACCAGACCGGATGAAACACACCAACCCGGCCGGGTAAAAGAGTTTTTCCAAACACCGGCCCCTATGACTAAAACCCGACCAGGTGGCTTGAAAAACCCGGCCGAGCGTTAAGAAAAATCGATTCCCAGACCACTGCTTTGAAAATCCGACCGGGCCAATTCAACCACCCGGCCGGATATAAAAAAACTGATTTAAAATAGTCTGGATTAACTAATACCCGACCGGGTCAACTGACTCACCCGGCCGGACATTCGTTTTCGGTATCTACTGGATAAGCGCCATTACAGGGCCCGACCGGCTAAACAATCCCACCCGGCCGGGTGATTGGGAAAATTCCCAATAAGAAGACGGGCAGAATAGCCCTTTCCTTACTTCAACTTCTACCTCACGAACACAACCCTCAAAATCCCCCATTGTCACCCGGCCAAAGCTTCGAATCCAACCATTTTCTACACCAAATCACCACATCAAACACATCTTCTACATCTCCTCAACACCCTCTTCCACCCTACACCCACAAAACCTCCCCAAATACATCTCAAACCAAAAATCTGAAACCCTAATCCCCATTTTCCAAAGGTCCGAATTTTTGGCCTAAAATCCCAAAGAAATCCCAATTTCTTCACCTATTAATCATCCTCTCCACTCTCCCACCCTCAAAACACCCACAATACACCAAAAATACAAATTCTCAAACCCCACCAAAGCCTAGTCCGAAAATACCCAAAGGAAAAAAGGCAAAAAAAATCCATTTCCATGGCACCAAAGAGGTCAAAAGCTTTTCCTTCAAGAGGTAACAGGGTTATCTCACCCGTGGCAGGCTACGAAAGTGTTGGATCTGCAACGGAGGCCCAAAAGAAACGCTTCATTGAACAATCCAAACGGGAGGTAAAACAATCCCGATTCATGTGCCTTACTACATTAACCCTGTTTCAGATTGATACTATCATGCGTGACATCTTCACGCGAATTGGAATGCTTGGGTTATTTGATATTCAATATGTCATCTATCCTCATTTGGTCTATGAATTTTTTAGCTCATTTGTGCATACGAAAGATGAGAATGATCATGCTAACGACACAATCACCTTTGGATTACTCAATGAGGACCGTTCATTGACCAAAAGAGAATTTGCTCAACATTTTGGCCTCCCATTGTTTGATGAAGCACGTGATTATGATTCTCTCGTGGGTTATGAATTATGGAAGAGAATGACAGGAAAGGTTGTGGTTGATCTTTCTAAACTTAGTGCGAATCATGTGCAACATCCGGTCTTCCGAATTTTCTTGAAATTTTTGTCCAATCGCTTTCTCGGAAGACAGAATAATCATCACACTAGGATTTGGGATATTTTTGTTATTGCACAATCTGTTTTACCTGGCCATGATCAAGTTGATGTTGCCTCCATCTTATGGAATCACTTCACCAAAGTGGCAACTTCCGGAGGACAAATTGTGATAGGGGGCTTAATCACACATATAGCCACTTTATATGATTTTGTAGACCCAGGGCCTATCACCACAAAACAGGTAATCACCATTTCATGGCTTTTACCGAAAACCAAAGATGTGGCTCTCTCTCACCTTACATCAACTGGGGCACAAATCTAAAATTGACTAATCCTTCCGCCCAAGGACATCTTTTTCCAAATACCCTCTCCCGAACTCCCTTTGAACCTTTTGGATCACCAAATCGGTGATGAGCGACACTAGTGTCTTCCCGAGGGAATCCCGGGCATATTATGCACAAGATGAACCCAACCAAGAAGATGCCGAAATCGAACCACCACTCATACCCGATTCACCTCAACCACAACCTCATGCTCAAGCATATCAATACACACCATTCGAGCAACAAATGCTCGATAACATGAACACCCTCAACAATAACTGCACCCAACTTCCGGAGGAAGTTGGACTGTACCGGACTGAGTAAAAGAAGAGCTTTGAGAGGTGGGAGGTACAGAGACAAGAGGACCAGCGGAGGAATGAAGAGGACCAACGGAGGACCTATGGACCTATTTACTCCTACATTGCATAGCAGGGATCCTTTTCATTCATGACCATACCTCCTCCTGCACCCTCTTGGTATGACCCCACTCAATGGGGTACTTATGGAGGTTCCAGCTCGGGTGGCGGAGGCGGCTATGGCGGCAGTGCAGACATGGACGAGGATGAGCATCCATATGAAGGGGGCTTTCATGATAGCTACTATGGCCATGGTGGATCTTTTGACGAAGGAGATTTGGGCGGGAAGTAGGGACAGTGTCATGGACTAGATGGGGAGGAGACTGTTCTGGTATGCTCACATTTTGTACTTTTTATTCTTGTTAAGTTGATAACCCACAAGAGCAACTTTAGCAAAAATAAAAGCAATAATAAGAGTGAGTTCGTAAGAATTCGAAGAAAAGAGTGAGAAGCTATGATGAAAACCCGAAAGGGCACCTAGGCAAAATGAGAGAATGAGAGAAAATATCTCTTTTGATTTTGAAGGATCCTAAGGGCGATAAATTAAAGAAGAGATGGTGATGAAGATGATGTTGAAGACCGCTTGATGTACTCTCTCTATTTTGGGGGATACTTTGTAATTATCTTTGTTTTGAAAACACTTTTTTGGTTGTTATGATGTTCTTGTCATTATGAGAACTTCTTGGACAGATTTTATATTTACTCGAGACGAGTAAAGGTTAAAGTGTGGGGATGTTTGATATGCACTAGTTAGTAGTGCATAAATGTATGTTTTTATGTTTGATTTGTGTGGATTGCTTACCGTTATTATTTAGTTTGTAAACATTTGTTTAATTTTATTTGTAATTGTTTTTAGCTCTTATTTGTAAGTTGTAAAGTGGGCATGCTGCGTTGGATGTGTGGGCATACTAGGAAGGACCGCGTGAGGAATGAGACAATCAGACAAAGGGTGGGAGTAGCACCTATTGAAGACAAGATGCGGGAGTCGCGCCTACGGTGGTTTGGTCATGTGCGTAGAAGACCGAGTGATGCACCTGTTAGGCGAGTTGAGATGTGTGGAGAAGAGGCAGGGAAGAGAGGGAGAGGAAGACCCAAACAGACGTGGGTTAGGGGAGTTCGAAGTGATATGCTTCTTCTGGGGTTGGATGAGGGCATGACTTTGGAGAGAACTAAGTGGAGGGCGGGTATTCACGTGAAGGAGTGATCTTGATAATCTTTTTCCCTCATCTTTTTTTTCCTAGTTTTTTTTTATCCTTATTTATATATAAGCATTATTTGCAGCCTTTTTATTTTATCATTTATATATATATTCATCTTTTTTTATATTATCTTTTCATAATAGCTTATCTTTTTATCTTTATTCCTTCTTTTCCTTTTGGTTGTGATATCATGTATCGATTCATGTTAGCCGACCCCAATATCTTTTGGGACTAAGGCTTGGATGTTGTTGTTGTTGTATTTGTAAGTTGTAAAGTAGTGGTTGAGTTGTTGGTAGTGGAAAAGAGGAAAAACATGAAGAAAAACTGCCCAGGGAACATACCCGGCCGGGTAGAGGTCTTTACCCGGTCGGGAAAGACTTAACTGCTGCAGCTTCGCGGAAATTGCATTACCCGGTCGGTGGAATACCTCACCCGGTCGGGTGGTAAGTGACCGGGGACAATTCGGCGTGCTGAAACACAAGAGCATGGAGAATAATCTGATTTTGACTGGTACCCCGGTCGGGTGAGCCATATACCCGATCGGATACCCGGCCAAAGGTGTTGAAAAACATCTATAAATAGCACACTTTTTCTTCACTAATTCACATTTCTTCTTCCATACTCTTAAGCTCAGTTTAGAATAGCTTTACTTTATATTTTTCTAGCATGTTTAGTCTCCAAATGAGGAACTAAACTTCCATTTCTTGGTTTTGCTCTTGAAGCTTGTTGATTATTAAAGTTGTGAGTTATTTTCTTAACTTCTCTTCTAGAATATTAATTCTTCCCTTAATCTCATTTCTATATTAATGTTGAGGTGTTGCTAAGTGATGATTAGTTAAAGCTTCGACATTAATTATTACTAGAAACGATCAACGAACCGATGATTAATCGTTGATGGTTTTACAAGTAAGTAACTTCGGTTAAACCGAAACCGTCGTGTTGAGGCTATCAATCTCAATTGATTTCATCAAGGAGTAAAAAAGATTAAATGCTACTATTAAATCGATATACGATGTTGTTATATATTTGATTAATAGTAAGGGTTGTTAATGAACGGTCGTTGTTAATAACTACCTTGATGAATTGGAGATACTCCTCGATTGAGTATTCGATAGGGGATAAGTTATAGATATAACAAGAATCGACTAATATATTAACAAGTGGAAAGTAGCAAAGCCAACTTTTTTTATCTTTGAATTAAATCACATATAAGTTGTTCATCTTAGTGTTTAATTAAATTTAATCATTCAGACCCAAAACCCCCCTTTAATTACTAGTTTCATTTAAAAGAGAATTATTCTTTCCTCGTGGATACGAACTCTACTTCACTATACTACGTATAAGTGTTAGTATCGAATTTATTTTGACGCACTACGACAAAGTGCTCGTCAATTATATAATAGGGATTACATTCATATGAATGCCTAAAACAAGGAAAATCCTAGATAATCACTTCATAGAAGAGCTAATTAAGGTATTAAAATCAAATAAGAATAAAATCAACCACTATTAGTCTTCTCAATGTTCTATTTCATCTTTTACAGTTTTACCTTTCCATAATCTTACAATAGCATGCATCAGAAATACAGAGAAAGCAGAATAAGAAATACCTGGCCTTGGATTCCCATCTGCATCGCCACAATGGGGTCTAAAATAACACCACGGATTGGACAGCCCATGAGGTAAGCTACAAGATAAGTAGAATGTATTGGTGATAGTATGATATTACGAGGTAATGAAAAGGCAGGCTGGATGTAAATACTCCCTCCACCCTTCCAAATATTCCCATGTCTGAGAGCACGTGGAATAAGAAAGTAAAAAATGTGTGGTTGAGGTTTATGCACACGGGGGGTATATTAAGAACCACAATTACTTACTTCAAAGTGAAAGTGACAGTTTTTTGTAGGACCAAGTAAGGAAATTTGGCAAAGTTTAGTGGGACATAAGTAGTACCACATAAAAATGCACTATGTCCCCATATACTATCTCATGTACAAATGGTGATTTTCATAACACATCAATGCAATAAACCCTCGCGTGTTGACAAGATAAATGAAAAAAGAATTACCTACAAGTAGATGGCCGGCTTCATGAACTAGAATCCGGCGCCTATAAGGTGGCCAGTAGCTTGAGACCTGCGCTAAGCAAGAACCTCCAAGAAATATAGCATCGAGCATCGTCAAGCCCAGTACTGCGGTAATGTTAGGTCTGATGTCCATTCCCTGATTTACCATAAAAGAGATTCCAGCAAGCAACGCAATCAAAATAAAGCTAGAGCTTCCTGAAAGACCCCACTTTTTGGGTGAAAGTTTTGTCACTGAAAACACAAAGAATGGAACAAAAAATTATTACCCAAACTGTGAATATTTTATTTGAATGTGGGTTAAGATAAGATGAAGGCATATAGTTGATGAGTTTCTGCAACTAAACAATGTAAATCATGCAGTTGAGATTCTTGAAACATTCCAATGATTTTCTTATGACCGATGCTTCATATAAATGTGAATGTTTGTTTTTCAATTCAATTTAGAATGTAGAATGTGACTTAATAGATGGCACATCAAACACAAAACACTTCGAGCTTTTTCCACTATTCGTCCTCTGAGATTGTACTGTCTTTGAATAATTCCATTCCTTTGCTAGGCTATTTATTGTGACAAGGACATTTTTGTACCAGTCCTTGAACGTTTCACTTTGAGTAGAGGCCTGCTATGAGTTTTAGACAATGCCAAAGAGTCACCGTCATAATAATCAAAAGTATAAAAGTGGACAAACTCAAAGACGGGTAGCAAAAGTGTCTCTTTCACAATAAGAGACTACAATTGGAAAATTTTAAAGACAAAAAATGCCACACAATTGATAGAGTTGGAAATAGAAAAACCCCTTGGCATGTTTTATTATCATTTAATTAGAGCTTATGGTCCTAAATCAAAATGGAGTAGCAGATATGTACTGACCATCTAAACCAGTCAAAGACTTCAATAATGATGGTGTTACATCTCGTGTGCCTTCCAAAACTGCATAGTTTGCAAACTTCTCTTAGCTGTATACAATAGTAGAATAGAGATATGGTAGGCAGTAGGCACAGCCATCTTTAGTGAAAAATCGGACAAAAACTCGCATACTCTGTAACATTTAAAGGACGTTAGTCTTGCCCAGCAAATGTTTTCATACGTAAGCCATGCGTTGGAAGTATAAATTCCCATTATCTTTGCATTAAATGGCCATCCTTAAAGAGATCATTACCGTCGGAACATGTGTCGAAATCAAAATTGGATTGGGGTCCATCAATAGGGACATAAATACCTTGAGGCTAACTAAACTAAAAGATCGAGATCAGTCTATTAGCTAGTTCAACGCAATACTCTATAAGTTCATAATCCCTTTGTTCCATTTCGGTTTAGAATGGTTAACTCTTCTATGATAATACATGCATACACACACATATACTACGTATATGTGTGTGTAGTGTGTATATATCTGCATAATTAATAAACGCCATCTTTGGTTACATAGTCCTTTTTCCATCCAAGAATCCGTCAAAACTGTAACATTTTAAGGCATTCCAATTAATTTCGTCATTCGCTGCTCTTTTCAATCGCAAACGCCTCTTCAATATAACTATTCAACTATCAAAAACCCCAGCAACCGCCCGTGAAGGTTATTACTCTTCATTCAAGAGGGATAGTTGGGTCTGTTTCCACCCTTTCCATCCTTCTCCGCACAAACGAACAGGTATTCTTATAACTTCATCTACTTCTTCAGATGCATAAATCCTCATTTCTTATAACGTCGTTGCCTTTTCAAGTCATCTATCTACACCTTTCACAAATACAAAAGACCTGCGCATTAATTCATTTTTTTGCACTGCATTCTTTATTAAAATCGTGTACAATGAGGATTTCAGATATCCTCTAAGCCTAAGTTCACTGGTATTTACCCTTGTTTAAATGTTGCTACAAACGAAAAATTTGCTGCTTCAAAAAGGTCACCTTCTTCTTCTTACAATTAAAAAAAAAATACTGGTTCCACGCCTAGAAATTGTTTGACAAAAAGCCTCAACAATACTTCACATAAAAAAACTGGTTCCACGCAACAATCTTTTCAAAACTGGTTACTTTCTGTAATACTTCCTTCTTATGAACACAAATTCAATCATACAATGACTTAAATAGTGTTAGTTAAGATTTACACTTAAAAATACTGTGCCCAAATGTAGAAAGAATCAATTTTGCTTACTGTGAAAGAATTAGTAATTACACATGTTCACTTAATTGATTTATATAAATATAGAAAATATCTGCTTGCATAGAATGTGCAGATTAAAGAGTAATATGGTATTTTGTTCAAGAGTAATATGATATTCCAGAATGTGGAAAAAAAATAAATACTAAATTACACCATTGTGTATATTAGGCAATAGGTAGGAATTACCATTTTCTATTGCCTATCAAAATATCCATTTTATATGTTAACACTTAACAACATACTAATTATAGCATTTCTTTTGGTATGATTGTAATCAAGATTAATCAATATAGAATCTATGAAGACAAGCATACTTAAGCTTTTATTTTGCATCCATCTATAATAGAAATATACAAAAAAGTTAGCATTTTTGCCTTTTCCAATTATTTTTGGTAGCAGGGATTGAAACTTCTAGGATGTTCCTTGTGGACTGAAACTTTAATCACATTTATTGCTTTCTTTTAGAATGAGTTTCCATTTTGCTTTTGGGCTTGAACTCATTCATCCAAAATATAATAGTCATGGATTATGTGTAATTATGGCTTTCTAAAAAAATTGGTGTTAAAGAATAACAATGTTTTAGTGACTCAAATTTCAGTGTAAATAGCTCATAGTGGGAAATAAACATCGAAGCAGCAAAACAAGGCTATAAGGACCATAATACATTTGTACCTATCAATATGTATAAAAACACATTTTCTCCCTCAAGAACTACACTCAAATTTTTCCTTTCTAAAAACCCAGTCAAAATTCTTAACTACTTGAAGCAGAGATTATTTGGTGTCTAAAAAAACAATTATGCACACCTTAAACCTGGTAAAGATATAAAACAGAATGTACTCATGTGTTGTTATATACGTAGTCATCTGAAAACTTAGTCACATATACTTGTGTAACTTAAGTAAAAAAGAACTGAGGAACACTTCATATTGCTACTTCCTTTTTTTAATTCTAGTTTGGATAAATAGCAGGGAATGTTCATGAGTACACATTAAGATATTCTACTAATAATAATTCTTCAATAGAAAGGTGGGAACTTGGTTACTTTTCAATCTATCATAAAGTGTATCGTCAACAAAGAAGATCTGACTTTAAGAAATATGAGCACTTTGATGATAAAAATATTCTACTGTAATTCTAAAACCTGTAAATACATACTTCTTATCAACGTTTGGAGTTTAAAATGTAAATAACGTTGTAATTATAATCAAATGTAAATCTGCCTAAAATAATATGTATGGCGTAGGCAGGGGCGGAACCAGAGCTGAATTTGAGGGGGGGGGGCTTGAAAAAAATTCGCAAGTTGGAAATATTTATAATCTCTACCGTGTTCTTTTTTATTTTTTTATGATATATTTAAAGTAATTTAATCTCAAATCCAATGTAGAGGAGTTATTCCCATTTTTCATCAAGTGACTCTTAAGTATAAACCTATACTTATAATATACACACAAGCGAACTCATACATATACATATAAACTTAAATGTAGACATTTATTCATTTTTATACTTTTTTTGTTAATGCTTGAACAAAATAATAGACTTCTTTTATCAAGCGAGTTTATTTCGATTTAATACGCTTGTCATGTAATTTTAGAATATCAAAGTTTAAATAGCAATATAGCTAAAAAATATAAGAGGAGAAATTAATGACTTATATGTATGTATAAGTTACTAATTTATGAAGAAGATAATATTTTTGTTTTTGTGTTTTCAAAACAACGTTACTGGTAGGGTATTTGTTTAATTTTTTTATCAAAAAAGGATATTTTTTTATGCAAATGTATTACATAAATTTGATTATACCCATATAAACTCAGATATTTCATATATAAACATGAAATTTTGGCATATTTTACTTAATCAAAGAAAAAATAAGTAGTTATTTAAAATTGAAGTTAGTTTGAAATTTTTCTTGACACATGCTTATAAAATAATGGGACCCCTAAAATAATATAGCTCAATGTTTGAGGAAAGAAGAAATGATTAAAGGTCATTTTTCATGTCATTATACTAAAGAAAATAATGTGAATATCATGTCAGTATTCAAATAAGTAAAAAAGGATAAATATTTTTATTGGAAAAATAAAAATATAAAATAAAAGCAATATAAATCTGGGATGGCAGGGAAAACATTAAAACGTATACACTCCTAGTAGCAAAGAGCTGTAGGGGCAAAAAAGTGGTGGAAATTAATTAAAAAGCAAAGAGCTGTAGAGGAAGAAGAGTGGTGGAAGTTAATTGACAAGGGGTGAGGGGGGATTTGAACTCGCGTCTTCAACAAATTTGAAGCGCGCCTCCGCCATCCTTGCTACTCCTATTGTTATGTTATTATCGTTCTTGTGAGCATATAACACATATTCATTTCTTTTGAGACGGGGCTGTAGATACAAACATACATATATATATACAGAGTTACCGCCGGCGAGGGGGGGCACCGGCTCGCTCCCCCCTAGTTCCACCCTTGGGTGTAGGATTCAGGCCACATAATTGCATAACAAGATTTTTGCATGTGAAAAGACTAGAAGTTTGAAATGCAAATAACATTGTAATTAAGAAAATGTAAATCTTCCTAAAGCAATACATATGACATAGGATTTGGGCCTGCATATAAAAGCTGCTGTTTAAAAATGAAAATAACCTTGTACTCCTAGGTCTCAATATGTTTACTCTTACTGGGATTTCTTTAGGTCATAGTATTTGTAGCTTCAGTTAAGAGTTCTTTATCTTAATGTGAAATAAAAAGCCATATAATAGTTCAGTCCATTTTTATTGTGGAGAGTTTAACAATTCACACATCAGGACAATAGAACAGTTCAACATATCAGTTCATTTCAGTACTTTAACCCAAGAATCCACTCAGATGTTTAACAAACTCAAGTAGCTCTATCTTCAATTTTTTCCCTTCTAAACAAGTGACAACTGCTAAGTACTTTCCTGATACTGCTATACATTTATTAGTTTACAATATTCGTAATCAAACAGATTCTCTAAATTCTTTGATCTTTTATGAGAACCTTATATGATTTAATCTAAGACCAACTTATTAGAATACTACTGCTGTTTGTATAGAGATGTTTTCCCCCTAATTTGTACGTATGAATAAGAAAACCAGTGACTAAAACGTGAATGTGAAAATGAAATAAAAGGGACTACACTTAATGGGGCGTGATTTGTGTTAAAATTTCATTCATGAGTGCAGTTTTTTAGGGAGATAAAAAATGTCCATAAAAATGCAATTCACTTCAAACAGTTTGTTTGAATGAATACTAAAATGTTTAAAAACTTAGAAGTAATTTTTCTAAAAAAGGAGTTGTCTGTTTGTTTTAATTGCAAGTACCTACAAAAGGAATCTCCTTAAAGAGAGACCACGTTAGTGATTATTTGTTAAAAACTTGAATTAGTTGGAACAATTATAACATTTTGTTGTGTTCTTCTTTTAATGACATTTTGATGTTTATTTCGCTGGTGTTTATTTGTTGTCTAAGTTGAAAGTAATATGTTTCCTATAATACAACAACAACGTCCAAGCCTTAGTCACCGAAAAATGATTAAGCCTAGTTAGTACTAATAATGAAATTGTACATACTCTTAAACTGCAGTAAAAAATGTATTGATCCCCATAAAATGAATTTTAAAATGGTAACTATGTACTCCTATTAAAAAAAATATACTACGACACTAGGTATATGATCAGCTGATGTTCTTAAAAATGGGACTACTCTAACAAAAGTTAATAATTTGTGTGTGGCGTGAGTAGGACAAGCTGAGGGCAGAGTGTAAGAGATAGTCCAGAACAGAAAATGAATTATAGAATGCTATAGGGTGATGTCACTGCAAAAACAAAAAACAAACTAAGACGAAGAAGATTACCTACCAATGCTACTGTATTTCCCAAAATTGGGCAAGAGATCCATACCCTTGAGAAAAGTGTACGCTCCAGCAACAAGCCTCATATCATCCGCATTCAAGCAGGTATCCAAAACCTCCCAATTGCGCTCTTGCCGAGCGGCCCTTGCCCAATCCAGCTCGCTTGGATAGCGGCTAGAGTCTATCCAAGACTCCTCCTTGGGTTGAACAGGAGTACTTTTTAGGAACCGAAGAGCTCTGGTTAGGTCCTTATCCTTCACAGCTTGGTCATAATCTTTCCAGTCCTTCAGAGCTCCGGTTCTATTCATACGCTGACTCGTTTTCAGGTGATGTGGCCTACGTGTAAACGGCACAGAGCAGGCGAGAGAGTTCCGGTCAGGGCTTCCGCTAAACACCAAGATTTTAGCCAAGTGCGCAGAAAAAGAATTAGAACTAAGGACCATTGTAACCATTGTTCATGTCTCACACTCTCGGTACCCTATCGGCGTAAGGGAAAGTAGTTTCTGGTTGAAATCGGGAAAGAAAAACTTAACAAATTGATATAGGATCCTTTAAATAAGGAGAGATATTATATTTATTGTTTTTTCATTGGTTATCTCTCATAGCCCACGTATCGTTAACGTTTTAGTATTGAAGATGTTCTAAGGGCCCGTTTGGTTGGGCTAATCTAAAAATGTGATGCACAGAATGTTAGATATCCTTGTTTGGTTCACGGGTTTGAAGAAAAATCGTAAAAATTACATTCCCGGGAATGTTAAACCCATCTATGCCTTAGGTTATCTCACATCCCCGGGTGATCTAATTTTCTTCCGAAAATACCTTAAATTAATTATCTCTTTTTCATTTAATTTATTTATATATTCAACTGTTAGCAAATTTAATTTTTTGTGACTTTATAAAACTTTTAATGTAATGTCTAAATATGTAAATTTTATTTACTAAAAATAATCTTGTTATTGAAATAGATCGGTTAGTTTCATGGTCAGTCGAACATCGTAAATTGTGTAACAACCTTTTAGGTGGGACTCACAGAGTATTAATTATATTCGAATGTCTATTCTTGTTATTTGCATATTTTTTGCCTTAACATTTAAATTTTTTAAGGTATTTATGTTATAAGAGTTATAGATTTAAAGGGCATAAAAGTAACACATCATATCTGCAATATAAGATATCTTTCAATCAAATAAATTATGACACATTCCTGATGGAGTATATGGCCCGGGAACCCCCGGCCCACAGACTCCTACTACTCCAGCAAAGGCCCAACAGGCCCAAAAGGCCCAACAGGCCCAAATCACAGCGCCCGGAGTACCAAGCAGTCCGCACAACGCACAGGGGTGCCTTCGGCCCCCTGGCCGAAGGCTCCAAATTCTCACAGAGCGGGTTTCTCAAGCAAACTAAGAAATTGGGAGAAAACGGCGAAAACAGTAGCCCTCGGCACTGTGAGCCCTCGGCACCAGGGGGTGCCATCGGGTGGAAGAGCCCTCGGCTACTGCTTTATAGCCGAAGGCATCTCACTTGACAAGATATCCGCCTCACATGCGTACAGATCACCGTACCCCGCACAGACGTCCCATCCAACAGCCGCATTAAATGCGGCCACATGCGGCTGCCAGCGCCAACCAGTTGAGGTGACCCCTCGGCCAATGGGCGCTTGACACGTGTCCCTGCCCGGCATTTATTGCTACTATAAATAGCACCCCATTTCCCCATTTGTAACCACGCTGAATACATATCGAATATACACTCTCTCTCTAACTTGTTTGCTCTGACTTCTCTCTAAGTTATTCCCCGTAATAACCCTTCGGATATATACCCCCGGGTAGACTATCCATCATTTGGTGCTCTCGTTGAGAGGTTGAACAATCGAGTAAGAAACCCTCCCCCTCGACCAAACACAAAACACTAGCCCTCTATCAAAATGGTGAGGACAACACGTGCCAACTCAAAGAACGTAGAAGACAAGAACCTGGCCCTCGGCGACGTCAACGCCCCCGAAGCCTCTCACAGGGCTCCCGAGGGCGGTGTCCTCGCTGGGCTGGAACAGGCGGCTGTCGACCTACGCCTTCAGATCCAACAAAACGCCCCCGATGCCCGCCTCGGCATCGAGGCCAAGAAGAAAAACCGGAGCGATGACCAAGTCAGCCCTCCGGTTCTCACCATCGACGTACAATCGGCGCTCTCCGCCTTCATCCAAACGCTCACCCAGAACCCGGGGAAAATATCATACTTCCCCCTCTGCCACACCCCTTCGGAAATCCCACCCCTCGGGTGAGAAACGACGAAGGGGTGGTGGCCCAAGAAACATCCTCCCAGGAAGTTCAGTCCCGGGACCGCCATAATGACAACAGGGAGAGGCCCCGTACTTCCGCCCTCAACCGGCTCGGAGGAGGGCCAGACCACCGAGGGGTCCAAGACCGCCTCGGGGGGAAAGCACTCCAAAGGCACCAGGAAAGCGGGGGATCTGTTTCGAGGGCAGACGAGGAGCGTCCCCCTCGGGACAAAGGCAAGGCACCCCTTCATGCCGATGATGCTCGGCACCAAATCAACCAGGCCCACTCGGCCCGGGTTCGTTCGCAGGGGGCGGAAACCCTCCCGAGGGACCCCCGGGACGAGATTATTGCGGCCCTCCAGCGCCGGCTTGACGAAATGGAGTCCAACAAAGCTCACGCCACCACCTCCACCCCTCACTCAGATCTCAAATACGAGGCCATGATGGCCAAAATGGAGGAGTTACAGAAGAAGGTGGCCGAGGGCTCCGGGGAACCCGTCATCCAGCTCCGGACTCGGACGCCATTTACCCCAAGGGTATTGGCGGCCCGGATCCCGGAGAAATACCGAGGGCAACACATACAGCCCTACAGCGGGAAAACGGACCCCCAGGAACATTACAGCAAGTACCAGAACAGCATGATGATGGTGGGGGCGTCAGACGAATATTTGTGTCGTTGGTTCCTCTCCACCTTAGAGGGACCAGCATACGAATGGTTCAACAGGCTGCCCGAGGGCTGTATTGATTCATGGCAAGAACTCGCCCAGCAGTTCTTGACACAATTTGCCGGGAGGCGTCGCACAAGGAAGCACTTCTCCCACCTCCTAACAATACGCCAGAAGAAGGATGAGACCCTTCGGGATTTCCTGGAGCGTTGGAGGACGGAGGCCGACAAGGTCGACGGTGCCGATGACGGGACCCTCCTGGCCCTCCTACAAACCGTCCTCCGCATCGGCAACTTTTCAAGGAGCCTCATCATTGAACCCCCCCCCCCCCCCCCCCCCCCCCGCGACTACATAAGGGCCTTGCAGCGGGGGGACCGATATGCTGAGGCCGAGGAGGTGGAGAAGTATCACCAGCATCCGGACCAGCAGCCCCCGAGGGCTGACAACAAGCACAACCGAGGGCCGGGGGCTCCTCCAAATCGCCCCAAGGCTTCGGGACCCTCTGATGACCGCCCTCGGCAAGGCCAAGCCAAGCCCGGGGGAGGTTATAGGAGCAACCCTAAGACTTGGGCCCAGCCCATTCTCCTGGACCGCCCTCGGACCCCATTGACGCACCCCGTCAGCATCATCCTCGATTTTGCAGAGGAGAGGGGCCTCGTTGAGCGCGATTCTCGCGCACCCCCGGAGGTACACGCTATCAACCCTCAGTTCCCCTATTGTCGCTTCCATCGACATCAGGGGCACAGGACTGATGACTGCCATCAACTGAAGACGGCCATCGAGAGATTAATACAGGCAGGGCACCTGTCCCAGTTTGTCCAGAGCCCTCGGCAGGAGGGACCTTCTCATCAGGGACCTCCCCGAGGGCACCATACGAAGGTAAATGCCTGGGTGAATCCGAACACCATCCCCCTCGGCAAGAAGAGGGAGATCGGAAACTTGGAAGAAGAGGAGGAGGAGTACCCCCACTACTAGGAGAAGAAACGCCACATCCTCATGATCACCGGTGGCAATACAGGGGGCGATTCCACCAGCCAGCGGAAGAAGTGGGCTCAATCGCTTTACGTAGGGGAAGTCACTCATATGCCCCCGGTAAAGCGATTGAGGGAGGAACCCATCACCTTCACCAACGCAGATCTCCCTCCTACTTCTTCTCCTCACAGGGATGCCTTGGTGATTCGGACAGAGATCAACGACACCATCATTCACCGAACTTACGTTGACACGGGCAGCTCCGTCAATGTAATGTACCTCAGTACCTTCAGAGAGCTGCATCTGGAGAGGGGGTCCCTTCGGCCCATCAAAACCCCTCTTGCCGGCTTCACCGGCGACACTATTGATCCCGAGGGGGTAATAACCCTCCCGGTGATCTTCGGCGACGGGCTCCATAGAGCCCAGCTCGAGGTGGAGTTCGTCGTCGTCAACATTGATTGCGCCCACAGCATCATCCTCGGCCGGCCAGCCCTCGAGGACCTCGAAGCCATCATCTCCATGAAGCATCTCTGCCTCAAGTTTCCCGCCGAAGGGGGCATTGGCTACTCCCGGGGGAATCAAAAAATTGCCCGCGCCTGCTATCTTCAGGTCACTAAGAAGGTAAGCAAGACGGAATTCCGTGTTGACACCATCACCGGAGCCGTCGACCAAGAGGAAAGAAGGCCGAGGGCTGAACCGGCCGAGGACGTAGAAGACTTTGCGCTCGATCCGGCCCAGCCGGAGAGAGTCGTGAAGATTGGAGCCCAGCTCCCTGAAGATTTGAAGACCGGTATCACCGACGCCCTCCGCGCCTACTCCACTGTCTTTGCATGGGGGCCGGAGGACATGCCGGGAATCAGCCGAAGGGTCATCACCCACCGCCTCTCGGTGGACCCTTCGGCAAAAGCAGTACAGCAGCGAAGGAGACCCCTCTCCGCCGAGAGGAGGGAATTCGTGAAGAAGGAGGTCGCCATGCTCCTCTCAATCAAGCACATCAAGGAGGTGAAATACCCCTCATGGCTAGCAAATGTAGTCCTCGCCCAGAAGCCCCCTACCTTCCGCATGTGCGTGGACTACACCGATCTCAACAAAGCATGCCCCATGGATCCATTCCCTCTACCAAACATTGATCAATTGGTGGATGAGACCGCGGGGTGTGAAATCATGTCCTTCCTCGATGCCTTCCGAGGGTACCATCAAATATTCATGCACGAGGAGGACGCCGAAAAAACTGCCTTCATGACTCCCGAGGGCATCTTCTGCTACCTAGTGATGGCCTTCGGCCTAAAGAACTCGGGGGCCACTTACACCCGGATGGTGGCCCGGGTCTTTCAAGCCGTCCTAGGGCGCACCATGGAGGCCTATGTCGACGACATGATCGTCAAGAGCAAACAATCTTCCAGCCATGCTGACGACCTCCGGGAAATCTTCGCCATCATGCAAAAATTCAACCTTCGGCTAAACCCGAAGAAGTGCACCTTCGGCGTCCAAGGGGGAAAATTCTTAGGCTACATGGTGAGCCGGAGGAGTATTGAGGCCAACCCCGAGAAGATCCAGGCCATCATCAATATGGAGCCCCCACGCAATGTGAAGGAAGTCCAACGGTTGACGGGCCGCCTGGCAGCCCTC